ACACAAATGCCCCCATGGGCACCATGGTGCTTGCAGACACCACTGCTCTAAAACATCATGCCACAGTTTCTCTGAAGAATTTGCTTATAGTGAATGGTTAATTACAGAGATATACCTATTTCATAGAACTGGAAGGAACCTTGCAAGGTCATCAAGTCCAGTTCTCATGCTAGGACTAAGTACCATCCCTAACAGATTTGCCCCAGATCCCTAAATGGCCCCCTCAAGGATTGAACTCACAACTCTGGATTTAGCAAGCCAATACTCAAACCACTGAGCTATCCTTCTTCTCTGGAAAAAACTAGCCCACAGAGCCACTTCTATACAAATTGTCATTATCTTAGTGTTGGCTGCCCAGCTGCTCTCAGGGCAGCTAAGACTTGAACCTACTCCTCTGTACTCTCCAGGAAAATGCCCTATCCCCTTGGCCACTCAAAATGTGTTACTGCCCATTTCTCTCAATCACCATTATTGGCCAGAAAAACAGATTTTTTTAAAAAAGTGGTAATTTATGAAGAAGTCTTAATCCACATTAGCAGGTTGGTTTGATTCTCAAGGAACTGAATTAAAATCTTGTCCTTCAACTCTAGTTACCTGAGTAGTTGTCAGGGGGCTCTCCTCTGGTTTGGGGTTGCCGCCCCCATCCGGGGTATAGTTCGGCTCACCTGGGTCTAGCCCCAAAGTGCAATGCCCCTCTTTTCGGAGTAATACGGCCCACTGGCCTAGTCCCAAAGTCGGCTGCCCCTGTATCAGGGGGACTATGGCCCACTGGCCTAGTCCCAAAGTCGGCTGCCCCTGTATCAGGGGGAATACGGCCCACTGGCCTAGTCCCAAAGTCGGCTGCCCCTGTATCAGGGGGAATACGGCCCACTGGCCTATGCAGGCTCTGCGGCCTAGTCCTCAGGCTGAGCTTCCCACTCGCCGGGGTTCAGGGCAGGAGGAGTAGGGGGGCCTGGGCCCTCCCTCTCCACCGGGCCCCGACCCAGGGCCCTATGAGCGGCAGGTGGCTCCCACCACTGGCTCCTCCCCGCAACGCACCGAGCCCTCAGGGGCTTTTCCAGCTCCCTGCCCTGGGTCACTTCCTACCCCCAGCCCAGCGCGGTCCCACCTGTCGGCGTTGGTCGGGTGGCTGTAGCGACACTTCCCCAGTCAGCATCGGGGGC